CCCCAAAACCCCAAAACCCCAAAACCCCTAGAATACAAGAATGTCTGATCATCTGAGTTATTACAATAAAGTAAATAATTATGCTTTTGTCCGTGAGCTCACAATCCTTCGTATCATAGGAATTGAGCAAGATCACTTTGTGACTTTTCATTCTCAGTAAACTCTCTTTGATATCCGTTGAATTTATCCTGATTTTCATTCCTTACAGCTTCTGGCACCTTTTGCTCGTAACCTGGAACGTTCATCTTCTTCTTAAGTCCATCCATAAGCTTTGTAAGCTCATTTTGTCTCTTTTTTATTCTCTCAATCTCCAACTTGACATCAATTAATCCAACGACTTTAATTAAAGTTTGATAGTCTTCATTCAAATGATTTTTAAGGCATCCAGCTGGGTCCTAATCACTTGGTCCGAGAATATCAACTTAACCACTCTTAACCAGAGATTAAATGATTGCTGCCTCTGGAATAAATACTTACTTCAATTCTTCAGTTCTGCATCTCAAGACAATGTGGGGGTTAGCATTCTTGGCAACATTTAAAGCTGAGAGCTGAGATCTAAATGCCTTTACTGAATTCAAAAGATCTCTAACTTTATCCTCAACTTGCTCACTTTCGAATGATTATTAATTCTGTGGGAAGGCTGCAATACAAATAGAGTCTGGTTGGCTATCATTTCTATGAGGTAATCTTTGGAAGAGCTCCTCAGTCAAATATGGCATAGTTGGGTGGAGAAGTCTAAGTCCATAATCAAGGCATCTAAACAATGTGTTTCTTGCAGCTTTCTTAGCTTCCTCATCAGTTCCCTTCATCACTGGCTTTATGGCTTCGATGTAAACATCAGCAAGTTCCTTAAGCCATAGATCATATAATCCCATGACCATTTCTCCAAGCTTGTAATTTTCCATTAATTAGTTTGTACTGTCGATAGTCTTGCTAAGTCTAGTGAGAATCCATTTATCTGCTAAAGATAGCTTTAATCCATCTGGTCCATTTACTTCTGGAACAAATCCTTCTGGTAAATTTGATAGAGCAAACTTAACGATATTCCAAAGTTTATTGCAGAATTGTCTATATCCAACAACTCTTTGGACATCAAGGTTAATACTTCCTTGGATCATATAGGAGAGAAGACCAAATCTGAGAGCATCAGTACCGCACTCTGGAATACCCTATGGGAATTTCTTCTTCTTTTCTTATTCAGCCTCTTTGATTTCACTTTCAGCGAGGTTTGATTCATATAGCTTGGCTAACAATGCTTGGAGGGTACAGCTGTCCATCACCTCAAGTGGATCAATAACATTTCCCTTTGATTTGGACATTTTTTTACCTTTTTCGTCTCTAACCATTGGATGCAAGAAAACAGTTTTAAAAGGAAGTTAGTCAGTTAGACACAAACTCATCATGACCATTCTGGCTACCCAGAAGAAGATGATATCACCGCCAGTTTCAAGAAGATCTCCTGGGAAGAATGATTTGAGATCTGCACTTTCATTATCAGGCCATCCCAGTGTTGAGAAGGGGAAAAGTCCAGATGAGAACCATGTGTCAAGTACATCCTCATCTTAAACAAGCTTCACTTGATCTGGTGAGACATTGAACTTTTGAGCAGCCTTTTATCTAGCTTCCTCTTCGTTTCTACCAACAACGTAATGATCCTCGTTTTATGTATCTGGGTGATCAATGACACCTGGGATTGTTACAAGATAAGCAGGAATTCTGTGTCCCCACCATAGCTATCTACTCACACACCAATCTTGAATTTTCTCAAGCCAGTCGAACCAAACTTTTTCATATTGATCTGGAACAATAAGGAGCTCTTTGCTTCTAACAGCATCACAAGATCTCTTGGCGAGATCTTTACAGTCGACATACCATTATGGCTTAAGGTAAGGCTCGATAATATCATTACTCTTGGAGCAAATACCAAGTCTCATTTCATTTGGTCTTTTTCCCTTGATTAATCCCATTTCTGTCATATCCTTGAAGATTTAGTTTCTGCAATCGAATCTCATTAAGCCAGCATATTTACCACCATTTTAGTTGATTCTACCATCTTCATCGAAGACATTAATGTTAGCAAGACCGTTTCTCTTACCGCAAGCATAATCATTATGATCGTGAGCAGGGGTAATCTTGACTGCTCCTGTACCATAGTTCATATCAACAAGAATTGGATCTGCAATTACTTTCAATACTCTATCCTGAATGAAAGGATGTTCAAGTTCCAAACCAATTAAGTCCTTGTATCTTGGATCTTCTGGGTGAACGGCAACAGCAACATCACCTAGCATTGTCTCCAATCTAGTAGTAGCAACGACTATTTCTCTATCAGTTCCCTTGATTTTGTAAGCAAACTCAGTAAGAGTACCGAATTCATATTTATTATTTGGATCATGACCAGGAACCTTAATAAATGTTGGTTCTTTGAGATCAAGATACTCAACTTCTAAGTCTGACAGAGCAGTTTTCAAAGCACAACTCCAGTTAACTAGTCTAGTAGTTCTGTAGACAATACCTTTCTCATGCATTCTAACGAAGGCTTCAATTACAGCCTTTGATCTTGTTTCATCAAGAGTGAAAGCGAATCTATCCCAATCAACAGAGATACCATATCTTCTAAATTGGTTGTTAATTCTTCCACCATACTCGTCCTTCCATTACCAAACAGACTCAACAAACTTCTCTCTGCCGAGATCGTGTCTAGTCTTCTTCTCTTTTTTCCAAAGTTGCTTCTCAACAACTGATTGTGTAGCAATACCGGCATGATCAACACCTGGAAGCCAGAGTGTGACATAGCCAGACATTCTCTTCCATCTGGTGATGCAATCTTCAATAGCAAGCATGAGCGCATGTCCTAAATGAAGAGCACCAGTGACATTTGGTGGTGGGATAACCATGATGAATTTCTTCACGCTTGGATCATTTAAAACTTTCTGGGCATCAGCATGGAAGAACTTTTGCTTTTCCCACCATGCATACCAGGCAGCTTCAACTTATTTAGGTTGATACTCTGATGCCATTGGTAGAGTCATATTTTTCTTCTCACCTAGTGGAGTGGCATCAATAAAAGTTGGAACTTCTTTCTTCTCTTCTTGCTATTTGTGAGCTGGCTTTGCCTTTACTTTCGATGAAACTGAGGCAGCTCCTGGTTGGGCAACAACTGTTTGAGCTAATTTAGCTGCTTAAGACCATTCATTGATTCTAACTTTGAGTAATCTGAACATCTCGTCACTCTGAATATCCATATTTATTAATGTTGTATTAATGATGTACTAATCAATAGTTCCCTATTAATCAATATCTCAGCCAATAGGGGTTTTGGGGTTTTGGGGTTTTGGGG